TTTCCAGCCTGCCTCACCACAACACGCAGGAGTCCCAGGAGCTTGCTTCAGAACTTCTACTTGTTAGACATTATATATAATCTCACAAATATCCATTCAGAAATTCACTTATACATGAGAAAAAAAATGCATAGACCCAGAAACAAAGTAACTGAGAGGTCCACGCAGACTACTCAGTTCCCTACATGCAGATCTCGTTCAGGGAGCGCGCATGGGAAGCTCTGACGCTGCAGATGACACATGATAATGCGTTCATACCATGGTAACTTGTTAGTATGTCTGTGCTATTAACGCTGACTCAGGGCTTGAAAGAGCAGCAGATTTGAGATAGAATTCTTTCAGTGAAACTTTCTCAAGCGAGAACAGTAAGAACAGACCCAGCAATTAGCACAGGAACGGTTCTCAAACCACGGCCTATGAGTGCTGGCTGGTATCTGCAGAAAGCTGCAAGATTACGTTACGACCTCTCATACCTGAGCAACTTGCCATGACATAAGGAATAACTATGAAGGAAGGCTCAGAAACAAGAGGTTAACATTGTCTAATGCCGCCAGCAGAACATCCAGAACCTGAACAGCACGAAACGAGGCATATCGGCAACATACCCTTCTGGTCAGGGTATGGAAAAACCCTCGTAGGGGTGGGCCAGCGGCGGGAGGGAAGGGTGCAGCCCGGATGAGCTGCCGCCTTGGGCGGGCTGAGGGGGCTGTGGGGGGCAAGGCAGCCATGCCACATGGTGCCCGGCTTCCCGCCCGCCGGTGCGCACTCGGAGCAAGGGGCAGCAGGTGGCCTGTGTGGGTCGTGCTGCCTTTTTTAGTGGATTTAAGGGTAGCTTCCAGAGTCGGGGTCATCTAACGCAGGTGCTTTTGGTAGGAGTGTGCGAAGCGGGGGTGAGGGTGCCTGGCAGAAAGGTTGTGCCTTGCTGTCCTTAGAGGGGAAGCTTGATCACCGGTTCCACAGCACATCTTCGAGGCTGCTAAACTCGGTAGTTCATTCAGCAGGGAGGAGGGTGCTGCAAAGACTTTGCCGAAATGGGTTTGCGCACATCCAGGAACCCATTTATGCCACTGCTTTTCCGTGTTGGGAGGTGGTTTCAGGAATCAACAGAGAACAGATAAAGGCTTGGTTTACTGAGAGGCAGACCTTCACCTTCAGCCATGCCCCAAGGCTCCATACTCTTAGCCACTAGAGAAACCTAAGGGCTAGGCAGCATATTCACATTTTCTGATTACTGCTCAGTAACCTGTTTTTTTCTCCCTTTTTAAATGACCACAGCGCTGAAAAGCTAAACAAGCAGTAGCAGTCTGCGCTTCAAGGGCTCTCTCATAAAAGTCCCCAGCCTGCGAGTTGAAAGGAGAACAGCAGGCAAAAACTGGGGCTGGGAGTACATCTTTTTCAGAGGTGCTGTACGTTCCCTCAGAGGAGACCTGGCGCTATGATGAAAAGGCTCTCAGACACAGCTAGGTTTGGCTGACTATTTGCTCTGACAACACCCTACCTGTTTACAGAGCTTCAGCATTAGGATGTGTATCTCTTTAGGCCTTTCTCTAGATCCTACCCAAAATTCATCTGGAAGATGACTGAACGGTGCACGTGTATGAGTGATACCGAGGAAAGACTTGAAGTCTCTGAAGTTCTCTCAGTGACCCAGCAGGGAGCAGTGAAGTAGGAGAGTGTTTGTAAAGTAGTCGAGACCTGTGCTTCCCGTTCAAGCACCTAGCATTTATAGACCATTTTTGTAAAGCAGTCGAGACCCATGCTTCCCTTCTGAGCACCTAGTGTTTATAGACCATTTGAGGAGCCCAGCTATCTCTGGTTTTCCATCCCTGGAGGAAAGAGAAAAGATGTGTGAATGCTATAAATATTTTCTTCTCTAAGCCTTGCACTTGCTTAATCCCAAAAGAGAAATTCCTCTGCTGTTGACAGTAATGCCTCTGTGCACAAACGCCTCACTACAGATACCTCGATGCATGTGCCAGCCAACTTTGTGAGATCAAGTGGAGAGCTTCATTTCTTCAGTCAGTTCTGAAACCTTAACCAAAGTACATAGATTACTGACTGAAAGGCTGGGAATCATCCTTAGGTGTCGTTATTTGATAAGATAGTAACCATTGTTATTTCCCCCAGACCTGTTCCCTGCAAAATCCATGGTCTGTCTGTAAAAAAGAGCACTTAACAGTCACATTTTAACAATATGAGCTGTGATTAAGAAACAGTGAAGTAATAAAAGGTTTACCTTTTTCCAGCCTCTTCTGTCAACAGCTTTTACTGTTGATTAAGGTACAGTTAGGGTAAGAGCAGCACAGCAAGGGTCAACAGTAGCGCTTGGAATTTCCTGGTGCATTTTATGTACACTTCCAAATCACTAATGCTTCATTCACACCTAACAAAGAGTTGTTGTAATCTGCATCAAATGAGTGAGATCATCTTCAGTGTCTTCCAAGTCTGAGTGCCTTGAAACTTTTCTCAATACCAGAAGTAACAGATTGCCCTGCAGCTACTGTACGTTTATTACTGTGCTGCGAAAAGCAACAGTGAAGTATTGTCCTGAATGGTGTCCTTACTGAAACATCAAAGACGGCAACATGTTGTTCATTTCTCTAGGAACCATATGTTTGTATGTGCTTGTATGTGTTTTATTTATTTGACCCTTGCTTCTTATAGATCTTTCGCAAGTATCAAGCACAACCAGGAACTGACATCTAAACAGACTTTACTATCTGTCCTGCATGGCATTTATCCAGTCAGTCATAAAGTCTTCTTTCCCTCATCCATCCCATTGACTCTTTTTACAGTACTAAGCAGCAATTTTTCTCTGGAAAGGATTTCTCTCTTGTGAATTACACATGGCAGCACTCTTTGGATGTGAATGCTAAGAAGAGCATTCACTGTTGCTGTTAGGTTCCTGTAGTACATAGGGTCACATTTTTTCCCTGTTGAATGACATGCAGAATTTGCTGGGACATCAAGTAAACATCAGAATTTGAGAGAGACAGTAGTTGTTTTTGAAAAGTGTCTGAAATTTGAAAAATAGTTCTAATTAATTTATATTTCTGAAAGAAGAAAAAATAAGCTGTGTCTGCATCTGCTAACAGAAGAGAAGAGCTGGAAATGAGTTTCAGACCAAGCTGGCGCCATTGTTCACTTCTACCTTTCCTGATAAGGGAGAACCCAAGGGAATGGAAGGGAAGGAAAGGAGAAAGACATGTAAAAGGGTTCTGCTGTCTTGAGAGATTGCCTCTCTGTCCCTTCTGCCTCTTTCCCTGTTAGGAAAAGAAATAGCAACAGCTAGTGTGGATGCAAGTACCAATCTTTGGAAAGCCTTCACTTTTTAGAACTCACTGTTATGCTGTGATGATTTGTGATTATTTTTTCACTGAAGCTTCCTCATATTTATTGTAAGGTTCTAGAAGGTGTGGATGCACACAGGCCGTTATGGCGGAGTACTGGTAAATTTACATTTTCAGCTGCTTGTCTCTCCATCTGTGCTTAGTTAAACTAAATGATTGCACTCAAAGCCCAAGTGTGTGGATTAAATTCTATGGTCTGGTTTACACTAAGGTCAAACTAGATTCTTAAATGGTCCTTCTGGCCTTAAAATCTATGCCTCTTTTGTAAATCACATTAAAATGTGTTGAGTTCAAATGTTTTCTGTTTTATCAAAGAGAGAAGCTGAGTAATCTGTGATTTCAGCTACAACTTTTGTTTAGTAATTCTTTTTCATAAAACATTCCACAGATGTTTTCCTGGGAGCCTGAAATTTTGTTTCAAAGACCCTTTCAGCAAATACTTTTGTGCTGGAATTATCAGTGTATTCTTGCATAAATGTGGTTTGGGGCTCAATCTTGCAAACCTAAGGCATTCGATTAGTCGGTTTTAGACTGTCTCTCTCTCTCTCTCATACGTCTTTATGTTAACTCGTGTTAACTCCTATATGTCTTTGCTAGTTCAGTTACAAGAGTGTGACCGAGTTCTCCATCCAGTTCTCTCAGGATCATTTCACTGTTATTTTTAGCACACGTTTCCTAGCGTACATGCTTTGCCCCACTTCAGAGAGTTTGGCTTGCAATTTATTTTTTTCCATATCTGCCCAATATATTACAGTCATCAGGTATTAAGGGTATCATACTACTAGTTTTTTGCTGAGGCTACTAATGTTGGATTGATTGTTCTTGTTTCTGAATCAGTATGTAACATCAAATTATAGCTAGAAGCAGTGGTGATTAACAATTTTCATTATACTATATAATACTAAGTGTAGACCATGTCTAATCTTTTGAGGGAAAAATAAAGAAAAAAGCAAATTAAAAGTCACCCAGTTGGCAAGTGAGTACATTTACATTCTCAATTTTCAGGAATTTCATTTGAAAGAAATAACCATTGAAAAGAAGCTATTTAAGCACAGCTAGCTAATGAACAGATTTTGTTGTTTACTGACTATTTAAAGTGTATAATACTATAAATCGAAAGAGAGGCTTTATAATGGGACATGCAAAAGTTTCCATAGTACTGAAGAATTTATATAAATGGAGCTTTTGCATATCTTATTAGACAAGACTGTCTCCCTCTCCCCAGTATTAATACAATACAACATTACCTGCATTGTGTCATATTTGCATTGTATTTTTGAACATATTTGTCTGTTTCAAGATTAGTACAGTTATGTTAGCTGTATATTTGTGCTAAGATGATCTCCAGTTTAATAGTTAATAGATGAATTATCCCTGAAGCTTTAGAGTTAAAGCTTTCACTTGAAATTAATTAACAATTTAGATTCCTCAAAACTACATGGATTGCATCAGCTTATACTTGCTTTGTACTTTATTCTTCCCTTCTGCACATCCAAGAAGAAAAGACAGGCTTTTTTTTTTAATTATGCTGAGGTTTCTGAAGCATTCATTAATGGACAAAAATCGCAGTTATTGAATTGTGAATAAAAACGTAAGAAAACAAGATAGTTTATTAGCATTAGCTATAGAATAATTTATCCTTTTTTTTCAAGTTACAGATATCTGAAACTTCAAGAAAATTGAAATCAAGGAAAAATATGGAGGTTTGTAAAAAAAAAAAAAAAAAAAAAAAAAAACTAGAACACTGGAAATGAGGACAAAATATTTTTTCCTTCCATGCCAATATTCCCATTAGAAGCAATGCATCTCTTACATCATGGTGAGGGAAGAGAAGAAGTGGCAATGGAGAAAATATTTGCAGATATGAAATGATTTCACATTTTGAGGAGCAGATAAAAGTAATGCTAAAGAAGAGCTGCCATCAAGTACTGTTAAGCCCGTCATGCATAATGCAATGTGTTTGACAGGAATAAAAGCCTAGAATCTCCCCATTGAATGTGGCTTTAAAAAGAAACAACCAAACAACCACATTAATCTTTCAATACTGCTGTTTCAATAAATCTGTTGTTTGAAATAGGTCCATAGAATTCAGAATTTAGCGTAGAATTTCAAGCATCGTAGTTCATTTTCTTGCAGTGCTTGTGTCATTTTGGACAGAGCAAACTATTGTCTGTAAAAGAAGGGCAATACTTTCCAGAAGGGTGGTGCAACAAAATTCATTAAGTTTTTCAGAGGTCATTTAAGGTAGTTAATGAAGAAGAACCATTTAAGTACCTGAACTGACATAAGCAGCTATGGTTCTAAAATAGAGAAAAAATGCAGCTATGGTTCTAAAATAGAGGAAAAAATGCTGTTTTTACAGCCTCTCAGAATTTATGCCATGACTAAACACAGCCAAATAGACTTCTCTTGCAGTTACAAAAGTCAGAACAATATAGAACGTAAAATATGGCTTTTAGCATAATCAGACAGAAGGTTCCTGTGAAAGTAATAGCCCCCTTGCCCTTCCCCTGAAGCGATATTTTTGCTGTTACTTTTGGCAAGGCATCTGGAACATATCGGTGTGTCTGTGTAAATCCTTCTGGGATAATCGTCATTTATAGGTGGTGGTGGGGGCAACCTTATCTAATGCTCTGTCACACCCAGGATCTCTCCTGGCTTTTTTCTAACTTCGTATTGGATGATAGTTTATTTTTGCAGTGGGTAGTTACAGCAGATGACTTAATTACAGTCTTATCCATTGTCATATTCTTTTTTTAATTTTTAGACTGTCTAAATCTGGCTGGAGGGAGCAACTGTAAAAGCTGTCAAGACAAACATCAATTTAGGCTGTGATCTTGGTGTCTCAGAGTGCAGTCTCTGAAATCAGCCAATTCTTCTAAAGGTCAGACCAGCGACCAGGTAATTTATTTGTTTCTCACATGTTATCAGAGTGCAGAGAAACAAAGCCATCTATTTTCTGTTTAGGTTTTATACAGTTAATGAAATTCATCTTCAGAGGGGATCTGTGAAACTTTCTGTTCAGAAAGTGAAAGGTATTCAAGAATTTACCGAAATAATATTTCACTGTGGATAGCTTAGCAAGAACCACATAATTTATTTTTAATAAATCAAATAATCAAGTAATTAGAGACTTGAAGAGTGTTTATTTTCCTGTTTTTTGTCTTCTGCCCACTGCAATCATTTTTTCCAGAATTAGAATTCCAATGGATGAAGACACAAGAACACTTCTATAAAGTGGAATTAAAAATAATGGGAAACATCATTGCCATTTTACAGAGAAGAAAAATCATTTTCATAGTCTACTTTCTACTGTAGTCTACTTTCAAATTAGGAAGAAAAAGTTTCATTAAGGATCAGGAAGCTTTTGTCTATGCTTTTTCTCCCATCAGCTCTCATCAACCTGCCGATGATCACATACAGAGTTGTTAATCCGGTTCTTCCCTGTATAAATATGTTAGCTAGTCTGTCCAAAGATCCTATCTAACCTGTTGTTTGCCTGTAACAACTTGGGCTTTTCCTGTTATTTTTAAATGTGAATGATGAATGCTGTCCGATTTTTTAGGTTCTGATGCTGAAGGATGCACAGGGAATAGTATTTGTTTACAGATGAGATGAGTCTTTCAGTTTTCTGAAATGCAGGGTATAGGTGAAGATGATATGAATTTTTTCCATGTCCAACTTCTTCACCTAATATAATCATACAAACATTTCCATAATTTATTATCACTGCTTCCACTTAGATAATCTTTCTTCTATATTTAAGAGAAAAAAATCCCTGGTCTGTTGTTACGAGCACTTGTTTTCTGTTTCCTCAGCTAGTGGGCTGCATACCATATGTATCTCCTTATTCCCTTTAATGTGAAGGGAACAGTCCCACAGCCTTTCAATTAATTAGTTGTACGTTTTCCACTGTTTGCTCTGGCAATGAAGCACAGAAAGCAATCATTTTGGTTTACAAGTAGTCTTTAGGATATGTTTATCCTCTAAAAATTTCTTAATTTTCTGTGGTGATCCTTTGCTGTTTTCAGGAAGCAGAAAAAAGCAGATAGAAAGAAAAATAATCTCATTTTTTAAATATTAGGTTTCAAAATGAACATGAGCTTAATAGATAGCTGGATTTAATTCACTGCGCTCAAACAGAGCAGGCTTAGCCAGAATAGTTCCCAGGAAATGTTTTAATGTGCCAGGATTTTTAATAATAGTTGTTACTAAATTTATCCAGTTCTTCATAATAAAGATGCCTAACATCTCATGCTTTTAAATTCTGAAGTGCATTCTTTGATAGTTCTAATTGCTTCATCACTGCCTGTTTAAGTTTGTTCCGTCCACAATCTCTCTATAGTTGTTAACAACACTGAATTTTGCACATCTGTACTGTGCCATATCTCCCTCTGGCACTGGAGAGGAAATCTTAATCCCTATTTCCTGCTGTAATATCTCCTCCTAAAGAGGCAGACGAGTAACAAAGGAGCTGCAGTTCTCATAAAACTACAGTAATATTAAAATGGTTTAATCTTCTACTAGGGAAAGCCAGAGTGCCTCACTACATGCCTTACACAAAAGATCAAAGTGCGGTAGAAAGTAAGTTATTTACTAAAAGTAACCATTAAGATTTGCCACCTTTGAATACCTGGAAAATCCATTAGCTCCTTGAAAACAGTGCAGACAAAAAGGACAGAACATTTTATTATATTTTTATTGGATTATATATTTCTCCTTTGTCTTTTGAGTAGAATCCATGTGATGCTCAGCACTGTCAAGATAAGAATATATTTTTTCCTTTGGTGGCCACAGAGCTAGTGCCTGCGTGAATATTAGCAATGAGATATGTTTTATATAAATAAGATTCGTATTCTTGTTGGTCTTATGCAACTTAAATGGAAAAGTATTCCTATCTCACGAAGCACAGCACAGACATTAAAAAGATAACCTATGTCTAAAGAGACTCTGATCTATATAAACAAAATGGTGGGAAAAAAGTGACAACAGGAATGGTATAATGAAGGATGTGTACAAATAGCCATATTAAGTCTGATCACAGAATTGGGTGTCTAACAGGAAATAGGTAAAGGGAGTTTGAGGGAAAGGACGCAAGGAACAGGACAAATGTACTGCGATCCTTCTCCTAGTGTAGTCTCCCAGCTTCTGACAACCAGTGATTTGTGGACTTCTTGAGCAAGAAATTTCATCAGGAGCACTGTACTCAATAACCATTAACAACTCTATCTGTAAGGAGTTGGTCTCATTCTTTTTTGGCTTCCACAGTGCCCATCAGAAATGAGTTTCTTGCTTTAACTGCAGTGTGTGAAGAAGTACTTCCTGATGATTTTACGCATCCTGTGAAATACTTTATTGGGTACCTATTTACTCCTGTGGTAGGAGAAATAGTAGCGAACTGTTCCCTATTCACCTACTCCCCTACATTCATAATTGTGTAGATACCTGTTATATCTCCTTGGAGTTGTCACCTTTTTCCAATCTGAACAGTCCTAGCCTTTTTTGTTTTACCTCATATGGCTCATATGACTTCTTAAACTTCTTAACTCTTTCTCAGCCTTCCCTAGTTCTGCGCTACACCTTTTCAGGTACCAACATCAGGACTGTGTACAGTAACTGCGGTAGAAGTGCGTGTCTTTCAGCAGAACAGCCGTAGCGATCGCAACTGCAGTGCCCCCTTTAGTAGGCAGCAGCAGACTCAGCTCCCACCTTAGAAAGGAATAGGAACAGGAATTCTAACAAGTAAAACCAGCCTGAAGTCATTCAGCATTGCCCTTTTTCCATCCAAAGCAATCATTCTTTTCCACCATAATTGCAGGATTACCAGAGTAGTCTAGGATTTAGGGGAAGATTAATCACAACTCTTTTTTAGATGATCTGATCTGATTTAGCTGACAAGAGCTTGGTTGTGTTAGGAAGTTAGTGGTGGTATTTCAAAATAACGACAAGAGAAAATCTTTAAGTGTCCAAGTTTCATAGTTGAGAAAGGAAGCCCAGATATTTGTTGTTATGAAGTTCATTTTTAAGTTGTTTGAATTTTTAGTGCCCTTCTCATAAGGAAAAAAGTTGGCAGTTGTATTGAAGAAGGGAAAAACAAACTCAGAACACACAACTGGAAACAGACTGTCTTTTCCATAGGACTAATAAGAGACTCAGATTCCACAGACCAAACACTACAAGCCAGATTACTGAATAATGAGCCAGGATAAAAATTATCTACTGCCTTTATATTGGGACCTATAAAACTTTATTTGTCTTAAATGTTTATCTTAGAAAAAAACAGTTACAGTGGGCAATTACTTAGGGTTCTATTTTATATTCAAGCATAAGAGTGGTGAGAGGATGAATCTGATTCCCAGGGATCTGGGCTGGGCCATTTTCTATGGTTTTTTTTTTTTTTTCAGGCTAAAAATATTCTGTTAAAAGATTTTATTTAATAGCCGGGAGGTCAAACAAGGGACTTCATCTTCTCAGATTTCGTATCCATTTTCTTTCCAGTTACCCGTTTTTATCTTTCCATTTTAAATGTATTTTCTTATCTCCATTCTGCCACCTCCAGCAATGTCTTCATCAAGCTTTCGTTCATTTTAAGGACAGGAATCCACACTTTTTGTTGTTAATTTAGAGCCTCAGGAGCTCATCGACATAGCTGCTGTTCCTTATTACTTGCTGCCAGAGATTGACAAGCAACCTAGAATGAAATTCATTTCCTCCTTCCCCTATAGATGAGGAAAGGTAGCAGGTTTCAGAGACAGTATTGGCCTTCTCAGTGGCAAGAAGAAAATTGTTAGAACTGTCTCATTCTACGATGAGACATTTTTTATGGACCAGAAAATATTTGATTCAGACTTTCTGATGATGGGAGAAATAGGGATAGGGAGAAGACCTGGTTAAAACATTACAGCACTCTCTTTTGTTTTCATCCTCTATGGCTGCAGTAAGCAGTTCTTAAGACAAACTAGCTGTCCCGTACATGCACTTTTGTCAGTAAACAGAAGTTACAGTTTTACAACTTTACTATAAAATGGTCTTATTTAGAAACGCCTAAGAAAAAATCCTTCCTTAAGGCTTTTGATGTTACCATTTTGAATGGAAAGAATCTGTGGACTATAAAATAAACAGCCTTCTCTAATGCAAATACATGGCATTCTAGTGTTCAGTTGTATCAACTCCATCTACTGGCCAGAAGCAGCTTTACTTGAAGCATAGAACTGGTGAAGTATAACTGTTATATCCATACACTTTAAGCTAACTGTTGATTTGGCCCCATTTTAGACTTTTTCAGAAATATCAACTCCTGAGCAGACAATTTTTGCATGATAATTCACATACAAATATAATTATCACTACAAAAATCCCCACTAAAAACATCTCTTGATATTTTATTATCAATAGATATTCAATAATAGTGACTTTAATTAAAGTGAATTGAGTAACTGAGGCAAAATTAGCTTCCCCAATTCAAGATACTGTTTTGCGGTCACATTTTTCACAAGTCTGAAGGAAATTTTCACAGGTCTGAAGGAAAATTACTATTGGTTTTTAAAATAGTATATGAACTGAATGTTAAATATTTTTGTTAATTTACATCAATCCTATCACCTCAAGATAGGATCATGCATCTATTAAAGAACAACTTTTGGTTAGTAGCAGATATTACATGAAATACTATACTTCAGTGATATTTTGATGTTGAATACAGAAATAATAAGTAGAAAAAATATTACTCCTCTTTTCCCGCCTCTTCTGGGAACACATAACAAGGGTAAAGACCAAACATTTAGGCCTCATGATTCAAGAAGAATCAAGACATCACCTGTGAAAACTGAATACTGAAAAATGTTTTAAAATTTAAGAGACAAAACCTAGTTTTCTTACTGGAATAATGATATTATTACTGAGGTTAGCATTTTGTATTTAAATATATACAAAAAACCCACAGCTTTCTCCAGACATTAATGATTTTCCAGTCCCCATACCTCTTTTGAGGTAAAAAGAGATTCTGTAAAAAAACTCTTCCTGTAATAAGAGCAAACTGACTTTATGCTAGGGCTTAGTAGAGCTTCGTAGGGCTTACTAGTAGACTTAATGTCTGATGATGAAAGCTCTTGTGAGACAGAAAAGTGGATTCAGTAGTGGCAGAGGCAAAAACTTAGTATTGTACGTGTTAATAGTATCCAAAAGTCTGAGGTCAGAGAGAAATCTCGCTAATCAAATGACAAAGGGCGATACAGGTGGAGGTAGATTACACCCCTCTGGAAACAGGAAGATCTTCTAAACCACACAGTTGAATAAGGATTAGGCAGTAGACAGTTTTTGATGGACCCAACACGAAACACCTAAATAGTATGCAAAATCTTGTTGAGAGCTGAAATGATATTCACACATTGTCTGAATATGGTGGGATAAGGTTTGGAAGCCCATTTGGAGTTTAATCTGGCGAAGGATATCAAGGACAGCAAGAAGGGCTTCTGTTAAACACACCAGTAGCAAAAGGAAGACCAGGGGAAACGTGAGTCCACTGCTGAATGGGGCACGGCCCTGGTGACAAAGGACACGGAAAAGGCTCCGATACTGAATGCCTTCTTACCCTCAGCCTCTTCTGGTAAGACTGAGGCCTCAAGAGTCTCAGGCCACAGAGATCAGGGAGAAAGGAAGACTTTCCCTTGGCGGAGGACCACTCGGTTAGGGATCGCTTAAGCAAACCGGACATATACAAGTGCACGGGCCCTGATGGGATGCACCCAGGAGTGCTGAGGGAGCTGGCCGATGTCGTTGGAAAGCCACTCACAATCATCTTGGAAAGGTCATGGCAATTGGGAGAGGTTCCTGAGGACTGGAAGAAAGCAAATGTCACTCCAGTCTTCAAGAGGACAAGAAGGTGGGACCCAGGTAGCTACAGGCCAGTCAGCCTCATCTCCATCCCTGGAAAACTAATGGAACAGCTCATCCTGGAGGCCATCTCCAAGTACACGAAGCATAAGAAGGTGATCAGGCGTAGTCAGCATGGAGTCACAAAGGGGAAATCATGCTTAACCAACCTGATTGCCTTCTATGATGGAATGACTGGCTGGGTAGATGAGGGGAGAGCAGTGGATGTTGTCTCCCTGGCCTTCAGCAAGGCTTTGGACACTGTCTCCCATCACATCCTCATAGGCATGCTGATGAAGTATGGGCTAGATGAATAGACAGTGACTGAAAACTGGCTCAGCTGTCAGGCTGTGATCAGTGGCACAAAGTCTGGCTGGAGGCCTGTAGCTAGTAGTGTCCCAATAGTGGGTCCAGTTCCGTCCAACTTACTTACTTATTTGTCAATGACCTGGATGAAGGGACAGAGTGCACCCTCAGCAATTCTGTGATGATGCAGCAGGGGGACTGTGCAACTACTGGAGAAAGGTATTATATTTATTTGATTCTAGAAATGGGAAAAAAGATTCCAGGAAATTAAAGTGTTTTTCAAGTAGCTGCACTGTAGTATAACTACTGAGGCTATTCAGTGAGCCATTGTATAGGTAATAATAAACACTATTTGAAGGAACACCTGAAATACTAACAACTGTTTGTCAATCCGCAGTAGACAGCCCTAAGGTGGTAGTCGCCTTTGGTGTCAAACATTTCCTTATGATGAAATATATCATAATTTAGATGCACCTACTTCCCTTCATTGAATAGTGCTGCAGACAACTATTTGTGTACAAACCTTGTTATAGATAACAAAAATCAGATAAATGAATCCCATGCATCTTATCCAATATTGAATCCAGACCTTTGAAATCTCAGCAGATGTCAAACTGGATCTCAACTGTCCTGAAATATGTTCTTTCTAGAAGCAATACAAAACAATGATGACAAGAAGGAAACGGGATCTCTACTAGATAAAAGTTTAATTCCTGCTTACTACTTTCCTGAAGCCAAAAAATGCATTACCTGGAATAAGGGATCTTCATGCCCAGAACAAGTCACTAAACTTTAGTCAAGTAGCAAATAAATAAAATTAAGAGTGGACTAAATGATAAAATAAGAAGGACTAAGGTTGCTGCATGAAGATGCTTAGTAAAATGCTTCAAATCAAGAGTTAAAAAAATATGGTGTGGGGAATACTTGACTTTTTTATTATTTTTAATACCACCAGCATTGTGTTTTGGAAGACGCACCCCTATGGATACCACTAAGGCAAAAATAAAATTCTGATTCAAGAGCCTAGGCAGAGGCACACCCAGTACATACATGCATACACACAGTAACTAGGAAAGTCACCTTCCTTCATTCTTTATTTCATCAAAAATTCCAGCTGTGCAACACATCTTATTCTCATGCAGGTACTCCATACATGAGACTAAAAGATCTAGATTTGTAGAGAATAATAGACAATATTTGGCATAATAATATATCTGTTCTACACTGGAGAATACCAGCCCTCGCTCTCAGCATTACTTTGAAGTATGTGCAGAGAAAAGGTAAAGACAGAATGTCATTGCAGTACACAAACCCTGTGATAAAAATATGAAGTCAAGTCTACAAGTCATTTTTTTACATAGAGCTTGCACAGGATTCTCAGATTTCTGTTAAACAAAGCCAGGCAAAGGTAACTAGACAGTTATCTGCGTTGTTTTTTTTTGAAAACATTCTCAAACTGCAAATGCAGAGTTTGTAGTTTCATAGTCACAGATGAGAGTTTAAATGGGAGCACACCTAAGCTTCAGGAGATAATCTGTTTTTGAAAACGACGCTAACAAAGGCTCATTACTACTTCATGGTTATAAGCTAATGAAACTAGAATGTGGGAACGTTATAACACCTAAAGTTTATGGGGGTTCCAGTTTTTTGCTACTGAATACGACTTTGAGCACTTTTGCTAGGTAATCCAGGTAGATAACACTCTGGCTCTGCTGAAGCAGATTTCTGCTATTATTTGCAATGCTCTTTATGTTACATTAAGAGATGTTATGCTCTCTTACTGAATGCAATGGCTAGATATTTTGATAAAACAGGATTTAGAGCACTACACTGAAGAAAAGTTGGGAAAAATTTATCATCACCCTTCCCCTATTTGTAATCCTTTGCTCTATAGGTAGAGTCCTTCAAGTCCTCTCCAAGGATGGCTTTGTAGCATTTGATAAAAAGATAAAGCCACTCAGTTGTAAGATTCTTTGGGCAATAGCACTCCAGTACTTGCGAATGATCAAGAATGTTTTAAGGCTTCAATAGTTTTCTACTCCCATAAACATCAAACAAGGATCTTCAACAGCTAAAATTAGTGATTCAGATAACTTTTGTAAAGAGAGGGAAAGGGAGTCTAGAGTTTTTAAAATTTGTGCGAGTTAAAAAGAATGCTACAGAAACTTTTGAATTAACCCTAACAAGTTCAGAGAAGACAGACAAGACGTGAAATCTAGGTACTCGGCGGAGCAGACCCCTCTGTCTGGCATATTGACTAATTCAATGCCCTTTTCTTGACAAAATGATAGTTAACAAGGCAGAAGCAACTGTCCAAAGTTGCCCTTCACTGGCTCTGGTACATAGAGCAATCCTGGCTCCTGGTCCTGTTTGGTCTCCTTTACCTGGACTGGAGGGAAGAAGAAAAGACTAAGGTCGCTGTGGAGAAGATAGTAGCACATTTGGTATTACCACTGAAACTGTATTGACTTTGGCTCTCTTTAGCACAAGAGAGCAGCATTCGAGTTGCCCTGAAACTGGTAATACCAAATGTGCTATTATTTTCTCCACAGAGTAGTAGTCCAACAGAAAATAAAAAAAAAATCCAGGCCCAGAGTTTCCAGGAAAAGTACAAAAAGCAAGCTGCAAGGAGACATACGTGTGTTATAAACTGAGGGGAAATAAAGGAATATAAGAAGTAAATACTTCAAAAATACAGGAAGGGCCAAGGACATGAAATAACCTAACTATTTTTGTAGGCAGGTATCTGCTTTACGTAACCGACCTGACTTTAATTCTCTCACAGTACTGATAGCTAATCCTTAGAAATTCATTTTCCACAAGTATGAATGCTCAAACTTGTGCAAATACAGGATTAAAAAAATATTTAACAAAGTGGGAGCTGGAGCAGTAGAAGCTTTGTTACGCTGACAGTTTCAGCTGCTTCTAAACAAACTGCATTGTTATTGCATATGATTAAGGCCTTTTAAGTTAGGGAAACTTGGTTATGTTGTTGGGGAATGCTTTTACTTGGATACAACCCATTTTGTATTGTTTTATTTGAACATTTTTTAAAAACCAAATTAAGATTACTTTCGAGTAGGTGAGGAATTTATTACATGTGAAGTTCTATCTTTTCTTGTTATAAAGTGAAAAATTCAAACTTTCAAAAGATTTCTGTGTTTCAAGAGACACTTCAGACATTTATATTACTTCAGAGTAATATAAATGTGAAAACTTCACATTGAACTTTGTTAGAAATCAGGTACACTAGAAAAGCTTTGTTAGCTGGTAAATGGTGTATTGCTCTTGGAATACCAAAAAACCCCCAAAACCTGAAACAGTTTTTTTGATTATTTCGTCTCAAGCTATCCATTATATTCAATTGTTTTAAATAAAATGCATACTGCTATAACGTTATCACTGGCTGCCAGACCTATTGCATGCTTGCAGCTGGAGCAACACTACATTTTATACGTTATGAAATGCAATTGCATCTGAATATGAAAAACAGTTTTAAGTCAGATATGTAAATTTACTGTCATAAGAGGAATGCCATTAAGTTTCAATCGTACACACTTGGGTGAAAAATTTGTTAGAAAAAAAATCAAGAAACAAAAATGCATAAAATCTGTAATAGGCAACAATATACAAAGTTTCAAATATAAAATTATGACTTGTATAGTTTGTTACTTGCATCTTTTCACAAGAGGAAATTAAAAGAACCACACATCACTGAACTTCTACACAAGCTTCTTGTGTTTCAATGTCATTTATTGAGGAGTGAATGAGATACTGTCAGACATGCCAAAGAGACTTCACATTCAAGGGCTGGAAGCTGAACAGCTTTCCTCATTGAGTCACTGTACAAGTTGTTTTTGGGAATCAAAGTGCGATCAATGAGGTCTTCATGCTTGATGTTTTTGTCTTCAGTTTTTCATCTTTTGATCTACTAACTTGCTGGGCAGAAGGACGCTTTCTACCCTACAAAGACTCACACTCCAATTAATACAATTAACACTAGATGTAGAGAAATTTTTTTTTTAATCTGTTATAACATACATCTACTGCTGAATACAAGGTCTTAAAGCTGTTTCTTAATTCATTATGTCTAATGAGAAAATTCAACTTGTTTCCCTTTCACCATCATATGGATGGCTTATACCGTTAGAAAAATATTCTTCAGTGCTATTGTAGGGTTTAGAGGAAACTTCTTCAGTGTTGTGGGGTAGAAACAGATTTAACCACCATTCTCAGAGAATGCTTCTTCCTGCTGCCACTGCCTGTAGGTTGCAGAAGAACGGCCTACACGCGCTACAGTTCTGTTTTACTCAAGAAAGAAACAAAGAAACCTAAACAATAGGGTAAACGTTTATTTGGAGTTAGTTTTCTTGCAGATGATAATTAAGGCCCTTCAAGCAGAGTTCAGAAGCTCCTGTATGGCTGCCTGTTGATCTGCATTGAGCTGTGATATGCATTCTGTCCACAGTCCTCCAGATGTCTAGAAAACAAATGAGAAGTTTTGTTTATATAGGCTGACAAGCTTCTAAGGCACATACTAAATTTTCACGTGTTTTTCAAAGCTCAGCATCCACAAGGCACACTCCGGCAGTATATATACAGAAGAGAAAAGTCTTCAGCTATACACAGCCCTGCTTAAGTTCAGTTAAAGATGCTCTGAAACGCTAAATACAAGCAAGTTGTGGTTAGACCGAACTAAAATAATTGATTTGAAATTCCCGGGAACTCTCTATACCTAAATGAGTCAAATCAGAATAAATGTAATCTTCATTCTGAAATTAGTCATAGCACAACCATGTGTACTCTTTTGCACTGAAGGTAAAAGATAAGTATGATTCTGTTCTGCTAGAATACTGAAATACAGGAATATCTCCTGGGCACTGGTAGACCAGCAATTCATTCAGAGGAAGCAAGCAGTGATTATAGCATGCAAACTACACAAAGTGTCTTATGTGCGAAATTCTGCTGCAAATGCAAGGTACAATTATTCTTCAGTGAGAAGACGGTAAATTACCACCCAAAGAGATGAAAATGTATATAGCATTTATCTTGGGAAACGTAAAATCTACACTCTCCTTTGCCTCACTATTCCTTATTTGTGAGTCCTCTGCTGAGACGCTAACTTTTAAACTCACCATCAGAATACACTGGTTCTAATACTACCAAAATATTCTGAAAATTAAAAAACATTGGGAAAAAAGTATTTATTTGGTTGTCAATAAAATTAGGGAGCAGTTGGCATCTTGCCTTAGAATGACAGTGATAGAAAAGTATTACACATGACTGGCTTTAAGTCATTAGATTTGCCTTTGTGAGGAGTATGTACTTTAAGTACATTTTAAAATATTGTTTAGCTTTATTTAAGGTTGATATATTCTATCTTCAGCTCAATTGTAATGCCTGTCACTTTTCACACATTTTTAAGAGTAATTACATCAAAGAAAAATAGATTCACAAAATTAGCAAGAATTTGATAAATTTTTTAAAATAAGATTAGGCATTTTAGATTGTCAATAGATAATGGAATACTGCAGAATTAAAGAATTCCAGTATTTCTGAAACATGTTTAAGCTGGTATTGCCACTGAATACTGTTTCTGCTCTCATGTTAAGCATGAGGAAAAGAGAAAGTTCATATTTAATTCCAACTATGGCCATAGCGTTACTCATGCTAGATGCTGGCAGTGGAACAGCTCAGATCATTGCAAAAAAATGTCTTTCCTTCTGTTCACTGCTTCTTCCCAGATTCCAGGAGACTCTTAGCAACTACAGATCCTTCAGAGCTCCTTCCACAGTACACTTAAAATGCTTTACTGAAGTCAAATTATTACTATGTGTGGAGAAAGTTAAGATCAGTAAAGGTAATGTAAAATTCCTCTTTAAAAAAAAAAAAAAAAAAGACCTTTAAGATTTTTCTACAGTCTGAAAAGTAAAATTAACCAAGGCAGCAGTATTGCTTCAGTCTTAAATGTATCTACCATCCCTGGCTAAAACAAGACCTTTTTCTCTATCCACATCTGATCTATAGACGTACATAGTGCCATTGTACTGGTCAAAAGCAACTCCCTTTGAGCATTCAAGATGTGTTAATACAAAGGTATTAGCACAGACTAATATATGATTCATACCTAGATTTTAAACTGTAGGAACAAACAGCAGAGGATTCCTGTTTCACTTAGAAATGTTGCTTGATTCAATTTCCTTTTATGCTTTAAAAGTTTTAATAATAACAATGTCATTTTTGTACAAGACAACACATTTTGCAGGCTGACACTCTCATCCAGTGAATCATTTCCAAAAATCGAGGATTTCTAACACTTTTGAACTTGAGTTTTGGGAAAGCATGCCAGATAGAATGGACCATGATTGAACAGCTGCTGCTCCCAACCCTATAAACCAAACTCCAAATCCTATATAAATATTTTAAAAAGTTCTATGCTTGCCAGGCAAGCAGGTTCTATCATTAGGTGTTACAACTGTCAAGCAAGTCTGCCTTATGACATCTGGCCCTGGATTTTGGATCAGATCTCTCCTATTAGCATGACCTCTTGTTACTGTGGAGAGGTGCAGCTTTAGTACTTCTTGGGTATCCTTATTACCCAGCCCAAGTCCTCATTATGCCACAAAGGAAGTGAACCTTCCAGCATCTCCCCCAAAGACAGGGAAAACACTGCTCCCTTGAGCAACGACCTCCGTTTACACTGGATTAAAGATGGCAGTAGTAAAATTACTCAGGGTTTGGACCCATCCTCTAGCAAGCGCCCCAAGCCTCTGTTGTATTAGTACGTCACCAGTAGGTGCTGGAGACCATTATAGGAACCTCATATTAGATCAAATCCTGCAGTAGAGTTCACTGATGGAAAGGCAGGCAGCTTTTTCTCCAGATTTTAATTTCTGAAGGACATCCTTATTTGATGGTTTTGCCAATGCAGTACTTCTGCCCAAAATTCAGAAGTCAGAATTTACCATTTCACAAAGGTAAACTCAAAAAAAAAAAAAAAAAGACTGACACTGGCTAGCATGTTAACCATTTAGCTGCATATACCTTAAAGCATTTTTTGATTGATAAGCTTTGAGAAGTTTATCAAAAGAGACAGGCTTTATTCAAGTGTAAGCATTACGAAGTTTTATCAGTGATAGTTCGATGTGCGCCCAACATCTCTAGGAAATACATCACTGGCTGAAGCATTCTTCTTTATGGAGACAAGGTTCTCAAAATTGCTTTAACAATTCAGTTACTTCTAACTGTTCCCTTTGCAGCTATGTAAGCATGTATTTACCTGCACTTGGCGAACAACATTAGCCAGCCGCTTGGTACATGGATCTTCATGTTTAATAGCTTCATGAATTTCACCATCCGCAATTATACTGAATATTCTGGGAAGATTAGAGTTGTTGGGACCAAGGACAACTGGGTTGTTGCTGTCATAATCAAAATATATATTACAAGTAAACAATTGTTTAACCAAAAAAAAACAAACCAAGTATTTTACATGTAGGTTGAGTGATTTTGAAGTATCTTATTCTCAAGTTGTTTATTTACCTTCAAGTTCCATTTAGCCCCGTAAGTATCCATAGCTTTGTTGTCTGCTGGAAGAACATCCCTTTCCCGTTAATATTTAACCAGCCAATTATTCCATCAGGCTGTACTTTATCAGAAGGAAGTTCTGTACTTAGCAGAATTACCAAGTTCCATGCAGATGGAACTGTAAACATTGTGATGGAAATGCCCTGCCTAAAATGACTGACTTCTCTCTCCTTCAGCGCTATACGGGGAAGAAGGCTGTCTTACTAGCTTCAGAGAGCATTAATGACTACATCGCTCTGCCAGCACTCTTATCGACACCAGAAGTAAGTAGTTCGGCTTCCTCTTTCCAGCCAAGCGTTGGAGTAGAGGAGTGCTGGCAACCAGGGATCTGGATGGAAAACATGATCTACTTCTAGCCCTGCCATCTCCCCTTGCTGGAACACAGAGGCTGTGACTGTAGTACCAACAGAGCTCTAAAGAAGTACGCAGCAAGGCTGGGCTATCTGCACAAAGCTGGGTACAAAAAACAAACTACTGCTACTATGATTCGGGATTTCTGTATGTGTGTGCACGCATACATGTCACTACCAGTATGGTGTCTCTATACAACTGTACTGGAATATTACCAATATAGAGACCTCAATTGCTACCATTCAGTCCAAATCCTTGCCTTAACGAAACACCAGCAGATACGAAGTATTCATAGTCCTTTCAGTCTTTTCTTTTTTACAGTCTCTTCTACTACATTCTCTTCTTTCTACTTTTCTACTAAGCATTAATACATGGTATTGGCCAGTAGTTAGGGTATGACTGCTACATAATGATTCAGAAGAAGCTGACATTCTCTCAGTTAAGAGGTGCAACCTCCAGCAGCATTATTTTTTCCATTGACCTATGAGAGGGAGTATGAATCTAAAGAAAAGTATCTTGTCCCGCAGGTTGTTAACAATAAGTGAAATTATTATTACAAGCTTATTAAGGGAAATTCCATGAAATTATCTGTATTTTTTAATACTCTACTTCATACTTTCATTTTGTTCACATTCCGGCTTTTGGAAAGCAACAAGGAGCAAAGGTTATGAAAGCAAGGCTGTAAGTGTACGTGTGTGGCTTTTAAATAAAATACCTGATCAGTTATCAATGCTGAGATGTAAGCACTGTATGAAAATTTTTCTTTAGAAGTTCCTGGCTGATCCTCTCCCATCATATACATAAAAAGCTGCGAGGAATTTGTTCAAGTCATACAGATATTAGTTTGGACAAGAATACTGACTATTTTAGGACAGCAATAACATTGTTGAAGGTTCAATTTTGGTGCTCTGAATTTTCTTCTCCAAAGCACAGGCAGATTAACCTGAAAGTTTCTCAATTTTGGAAAATGAATGCAAGGGAAAAAACCAGCAGCCTGCAAACAGGCTTACTTTCTGCATTAATATCAAGACTTTACCTTACCTCTCAATTAAATCACACAGATAATTGAAAGTATGAACAGCTTCTTCTTTATCTTCATGAAGTGGAAGCCAGGATAACCAGTGTGGCAGGACTTCCTCAACATTTACACAATCAGGCTTGAATTTCATTATCTTTCCTACAGCAGAAATGCAGTTCTCTGTCGCGTTGACATTCTCTTTGGTTTTGGCATCTGGTGACTGAATAACTCTCACCAGCAATGGAAGCGCCTCTAATTGGAAAACAAGACAGGAATAGAGTTTAATGTGCAACCAAATTATATTAGCACCACAAATTCTACATGAGAATATTACCTGTATTAAAGATAGTTACAGAATCAAGTTAGGTTTCTCTGTCACCTGAGCACCAAAATCCAGTAATCCATCTGGCCCAGATGGATTAGGTTTTTCCCCAGTGAACAGTCATCATATGAAAGACACACAGATGTAAACAGCTATACAAAGTAACACAAGAAAATGGCTACTGCTGAAGTCTGAGTTTGCTTTATAAATGTGTGTGTGTGGGGGGGAGGAACTTCCTGTATCTCTCCACTGGACTTATGCAATCTATAAAATAGAAGACGCATTGTAATTTATAGTAAAAATGTAGATTAAAAAGCATTATCTTTGTAATCTCATAAGATCTATAAACATGGACGATGAAAAGCAGGAATATAGCAACTTTCACAAATTCTGACTGCAATGCTTGCCTATAGTGTGTATGCCTGCTGTATATCTATTACTTGTGTACACACACACGCTATATAATACACAAATGCACAAGCGCGCACTATTTAGATGTGCTAGGAAAAACTCATAGGAGTCATCTCATCTGATCACTCCACCTGGCATGGTTTAGATGGCAAAAGTAGAAACAGCTAGGAAAAGTATCCATTTTCTTGCTAGATTAGTAACGATTTTTAAGGTCACGCAGGCAATCACATGTACACTTTTAATGAACATTAATATCACACTTTTCGTTACTAGCATCCATGGAGAGTTCTGGAGCACTCTAGATGTGGAAACAATGGCCCCTGTATTATTTTGCTAAAATATGATCCTAAAGCTGTAAAATTTGTAGAGCAGCACAGAGGACAGGTTGTGAAGTCATAAAGAAAGCACACTTCAAAACTTTAGTTAATGAGGAAGTGTGAGATCTCACACTACTACATTTGATGAGTAAGCAGCAGCTTTGCAATTAAGCAGTACATATCAATGCTTAGTACATTAGCTTTACTGAATTAGGTTTTTGAGAATTTAGCAGTTATGGAAAAATGTGATTAACCCTGAGCTGGGAGGGGATAGTTTTATGTGGCTGGTAAGCATTACAGAACAGCATGAACATGGGTCATCAGAACCACTCGCCTGCACTCTGAATGGAAACTGAATAATGCTAAACTTCTCTGTAAAGCAGTTTGTTTCACAGAGCAGACCACAACGTCCGTCCAAGTTGGGTCTGCATTTTATGCTCAGGCCACCATGATTACCGAAGCTAAATCTCACCTTCATTTCCTTATACAGCTTAATACTAATGAATAAGCGTGTAGGTACACGTGTCCTGGCAGCTGTGAAATTAGAAGCGCATCAGAATGAATCAGTTTAGAGTTTTTTCTTGCCGAGGAAAACAGATCTATTCTTATAGAGATGTTGCAGTAGACAGACCTTGAAAAAACAGCTTTTGACTATAAAAGATGATCATCTTACTACTAGTGTCTGTATAACATCTTCCAATACCAGCTTACCACTGGTAAGATTTAGGAATAAACACATGTGGTTGATTAATATGTTATTCACAGAAAATAGCTGATTATATTCTCCAACCAACGTAACAAAAAATAGATGTAATGTTGACAGTCCTATAACTGTGGAATCTTGAAAACTTCTTTCCCCATTTATAAATTTGTTGCAGTTTTTCCTTCAAATTCATTTGTTTTTCCTAATTCTACCTTTAATTCTTTTTGTTTCACCGTACTGTAGCTCCTACGCCATTTACAAGTTCTCCCTATATTCTTATCTCTGTTCAGCTGACCTCAGAATTGCTCATGTTAAACCATCTGCTGCTTCTGAATAGTCTCTTGAAGTCTTTACATACTGCTACAAAGCTACAATAGAACAATATGCTGTGGCTAAACATTAATCAATAAAGAAATTAAATTGCAAATAAAAGCTCACAAGTATGATGTTTTCAGAGAAGGTAGTAAAACCTATGAGGTAGATAGCATCTCATGCCATGGATTTAGATTGTTTCTAATTACAGCATTTCATCTATTAAAATAAATTACTATATATATATATATATCTATCTATCAACAGTACTTAAAGCACTGCTAATGGGTGGCCTCCTAATAGGCTGTATGCTGCAAAGTAAAAAGGTTATTTTTACCTAAATATCAAACTAAAGGAGAAACTAAGTAGCTGGAAGGTTACCGCATCAAGGATCACTTATCCAAATACAAGGAAAAGGATCAAAGTTGTTACAAAGTTTAAGTAGTCCAAGGTAAAGCCTAAAGACTGACACAAAATTGCACTTCAACAACTGCAGAAGACCAACTCCAAACTCAGAAAACTGTGTCAGTCCCTACTTCTCTAGTCTTGGAACAGAGATTTTGATCTGGTATTTACATAAAAACTTTCATGAAACATTTCTCTAGACAATTTTAATGTTCTTAATGTTTCACTTCAAGGCCTTCCCCACCTTGTCCAGCCCCCTTGCCCACTTTTTTTTTTTTTTTTCCAA